CCGTCCCACACCACAAGGAGACAGAATTTGGGTTGTGGGGTCCCATGGGGCCGTCTGGCCCTAGAGCCTGGAAGGTAGGTCTGGGGGGACACACAGTCCCCCACAGATCCCTGGCCCTGGGATCAGACCTGGCCTTTCCCCCTCATTGACCAGGGTGTCCTGCAGACTCTGGTCCAGTCGGCCCACACCGGTCTCTCTACCTGTGCAGCCCTTGCCAAGGGCCACTCCTCCGTGTGTTCTGCCCGATGCAGTCCAGCCCAGTTCCTTGGGCTGGGCCAAGGAGAGCTCTGGGGGAAGAGCCAGCCACCTGGGGTGGGGGGTGGGGTGCTCCGTTGCCTTAGACTGGGTGTGTTCATCTGCAGGTGGCCTTTCTGGCCCTCCCTGCCCCCCAACCCCAGCAAGTGTGGAGGCATGGGCCTGCCACAACCGTCATTGTGACTCATTCTGGTCCCAGCCAGCAGGGGCCTTCCCCAAACCAGAGATCAGGCCATCCCACCCACAGGGGGAGGCTTGGACCCTCCAATCTGACTCCAGCCGCTTGTCTAGACTCACCTTCCACCTCCCCCTGCCCCCCCCCCCCCCGCCAGTGTCCCTCACGTGGCTGCTGGCTGTGTCCCTGGTCCTCCCCCTCCCTCCTCTGCTCTTCCTGTTGCCCCCAAGGCAACATCTTTCCCTTGCCCAGCTCCCTGCTGAACTCCTGCTCAATCACCGTGATGGAGCTCCAGGATCCCCCTCCTACACTCCCCACCCACCCATCCAGAGGGCAGCTGCATCTTCCCGGGGGTGGGAGGGGGGGCGCATGGATGTCTGCACGCAGACCTACACCCCCAGGAGGCACTGAGCTGGCTGTTGGGGAGAAGGAGCTCCTAAGAGGCAGGTACCATCTGATTCACTCCTGTCTCCAGCACCTGGCCCAGAGCCTGGCCCTCAGTGGGGGCACAAAGGTTTCTACATTGAATATTCTGATCCGTGGACTAAAAACCAATGGAAAGCACAGTAGCTGAAGCTCTTCGGGGAAAGAACATCCTTGCTCATAGAAACAAGGCACAGCCCCCACCTTCACCCTCACCTGCTCCTTCTTACCTGCGCCCCCCCCCACAGGTGTCCGTCAACCCTGTGCCTCCATCCAGCGGATGGTGAGGCGGGCGGAGACAAAGACACGGAGGCCAGCTGGAAGCATAAAGCTTTATTGATAACACACCAACGAGGCACGCCGGAGGGCGCCAGTCCGTGGGCTACACCCCTTCAAACAGTAGAAAAATCCGTTAGTAAAGCAGAAAATTCAGGGGAGGGGACTACAACATGGAGCAGACGGCCTGAAAACCGGTATTTCCGTTGGAAGTTTCCTTTGATAAAAGTCCTTGATGAATTAAACACATTGAGAAACACAGTGAAAACATATTTACAGTCCTTTTGAAACGGGCACCGCCAACATATTTAATTTAAAAAAATCTTTGCTGTTTCTTGCTGGTTTCGTTCAAAGAGAATTTTAAATACGACTTTAGTTTTTTAAAAAATACAGTAAGGAAATAATTACAATCTTCATATGAAAACATTTTACAACTTAGAGCCGTGGTCAGTGAATGCTAAATATCCATGATTTTTAAAAGTTGGTGTTAGAATTTAAAGTCGCTATTTCCTTTCTCGTTAGAAAATCAAATAGAAAGATTATCTTATTAAAAACACCTTTGGTCCCTAAGAATCGCGATCTGATGATCCCACGTTGGAAACGCCTTCCCTGGCCAAAACCAGGGACACCCGGTGATGCTTGCCAGCGGCGGGAGGGAGGCGGCTGGCGCCGTTCCCTCCCTGTTCCTATCCTGATCCCGGCACTGCTCCAGGAAGAGGGGCCAGATGAAGTTTGGGCGCCCCTGTAGCCCTGGCCTCGCGGGAGACGAGCTTCCTGCAGGGGGCGCTGGCGGGAGAGGCTGTGCCGCCCAAGGGACACAAGGTAAAGTTCACCTTCAGGTATTCACAGTGTGGACCCAGCCCGTTATGGGGATGGTGACAACAGGAACAAAATAAGGAATCCCTCTCTTTAACACGACGCCACAGATCTGAAAAATTTCCCGTTAAAAATTTATTTTAGAAAAAGACAAAATGAGGAAGGCAACCGTTTAACATCTGAGAAAGCCAGGTGGGCAGGGGTGGGGCGTGAGGTGGTGGAGATGGCAGCCTTCCCCTGGGAGAGGCCGCTTTGCAGGGGCCCGTGGGCTGGCTGCAGGGGTCTTTTCTGGCACCAGAGGCCCCGCTCTGGGCACCCACCTCGATGCCCACCCTCGGGAGGTCCCGTCGCACAGCTGGGCCAGCGAACCCAGGGCACCCACCGCCTGCTATGAGGCTGCGTCCCTCTGCAGCCCCCAGACTCACGCCTCTCCCTGTGCAAACCGGCATGCGCCTTCCCGGTTGTTGCCGCTGTGAAAATGGGGCTGGGTCTCCTTTCTGGGGACAGCCCTCGGGGCCGAAAGCACACACTGACTTTGCAGAAGGTGGCACATCTCCAACCTGAGTGGCTTGCGGTTTGTGGATCTCGGACAGTTGAAGGGAACGAGAACAATGGTGAGGTTTGGCAACATGGAGGTACGCAAACGGGGGACAGGATGGCTTTATGCCACGGCTATGCACGGTCACCCAGAGAAGATTCCAGAAAGATCCACTCCCATCTGGACCCTTCCCCAGACCCGCACTGGGTACCAGGCAGTGGAACCATCCGGAAGCCTGGTGAGGGCGGGGCTGACGGCTCTGACTCCCGCAGAGGGACTTGCCCCCTCCCCCACTGACTCCAAGGAGGGGAAAAATAACTGCTCCCACCCATCCCACGCCACAGGTGACACAGCACGCCCACAACCACCGTTTTGTTTCTGTGCAAAAGGTCAGTGAGTTATAAACACACAAAACTGGAGGGGATTTGAAGGTTGAAGACACCTGACCAAAACAGAGCCGGAGGCTGACGGTGGGGCTGCGGGGGGGGGGGGGCAGGGAGCCGCTGTGATCCCCAGAGGTGGCCCCATGGGCACAGCTGCCACGCTCCTCCACTTTGGGTCAGGATCCTGTCACGGTCTGGGCAGTGCTCGGTGAACAGGTGACACCTCGAAGGGAACGGGACTTCTCCCGGAAGGGCAAGCCTCCCGTGGCCAGCCTGCTCTGTGCCTCATCTGGTGGCCGCCCGTCAGGGACTCGGGGAGGGCCCTAACATGACCTCACCGCCCAAATCCTGACAAGACATCTCATGTGTGTCTAATATGTACAGATATAAATTAAAAACTCTATTTATTGAACATATACAAATAAATAACTTATTTGGAAGCAAATCCTTTCGCCTAACTTTCTGATCAAACCTAAAGACACCGGGGGAACACGCAACACAGCAGGAGCCCCTCAGGGCGGCCGCGGCCTTGGCCTCTGTGTGACCTGCTGCCAATGGCTCCGGGGAACCAGCAGGATCCATCTAAGCTTGCCATCCTCTTTACAGGGCTGATGGTGAGGAAAGGGAGTGTGAAACCTGGGTTCTGCAGACACGGAATGCACATGCCGGAGTCTGAGCCCAGGGTCCAAATCCCGGCTCCCACTTCGACAGGCCGTGTCCTCAGGCAAACCCAGGGGGTGGGGTCCCTGTGCTGCCTAGGGTCTCCCTGGCAGGGGCATGGGCAGCTTACGCTTTTTCCTCCTGACGGTTGGAACCTGTCAGCTGCTGGGACTGAGTTGGCTGACAAGGAGGGAGGCCCAAGAGCCTTACTTTGAGAAACCTTCTTTGACTGGAAGGCAGCAAAAATCTACGGGGGATAAAACCTTTTTGTTTTACAGAAAATCAGCTTTGTAGAGTGCAAGGCGGCCCAGCTTCCCATGCAGACAAACAGGACAGGGTTCCTCCTGACAGCACTGGGAAGATGGACCCAGAGGCTTTGGGGGACATCCTCCCTCGATTTCTTGGGGGTGCTCAGGCAGGAGGGGGCCCGCATCTCCACTGGGCTCCACTGCAGCCCCCGCTCCCTGTTGGAAACTGTCTCCTGCCCGGGAGGCCGCTCACTTGCTCTCCAGCCAAAATCTAATGGGGCCATGAGGGCCCTGTGCTCGCCTGACTCCATGCAGAAGGAAGGCCTGCGTGAGTGTGGCCAAGCCCGGGAGGGACTCTGGAGGCGTGCTGGGGGTGTAGGGGAAAACATGGAGACCATTTCTTGCCTTCTATCCCTAAGGTTGGTATGGAAGCTTCTAGATGCGAGGCTTGCTCTCAGCAGAAAGTGCCCACGTGTGCCCCTGAATCCATCTGTAGAGGGACCCCAGCGTGACTGACTCTGCCCGTCCCTGGAACTGAGGATCCCTGAGAGGGTCTCTCTGGAGGCCCAGCAGAGTTAGGTGGGTCTCAGGCCACATGGGTGCAGAGACCTGGCCTCGGCCCTCAGGCCTGGGAGCCACCCAGGGGCACCCGCGCTCTGGGCCTGGGTTTGCAGGCAGGGGGGCAGGAGCCGGGGGAGGGACTGGAAGCTGTCATTCTACTCGGGATGCTGCGGTTCTATGGTCCAGTGACTTCCAAAACCTGCTTCCCTCTTGGGGGAATGGAAGTCCCACCACCATCTGGGGAGGGTGCCCGGGGTTCTGCGGGTCTCCTGCAGGCTCTGAGGGGCACATGGGGTCAGGGACACTGGGGACAGAGGGCGGGGACACACATCAGTGAAGCTGCAGAGACGCTCCACTGCCTTTCGAAAGCAGTACAAATAATTAATAAGATAGGCTACAGAACCTCTGAAAAACCCTTAGAGCTAAGTGCAACACACGATAAAAAGAGACATTTTTAAAAAGTTTAAAAAGAATGGCAGCTTTTCGCATCGTGGCGACAAAAGCATTTGTCCAGAGAAGAGAGTTAAAAGGTAACAGATGCTTCACAGCACGGGTTTCCCACGCACCCGCCTCAAGTGACGTGGGGGACGGGACGGGCACGTGGGGAGGGGACGCCGAGACACAAGGAGGACGCGCCGCTCCCCCGCGAGGGGCCTCTGCGGAGCAGCCTGCCGTTGGAGTGCGGGGGACACGGGGAGAGCACTCGCTGAGCTCGGTAAAAAGACGCAGCTTCCCATCGGCCCCGGGACTCCTCTACCTCCCTTTCTGCTCTTAAACAGAGAGAGGTGGGGACCCCGGTGTCACAGGTGAATTTCTTTACAGGGACAAGTACAGTAGGAGAGGACGTGCAGGCAGGTCTGGGCGCCGGCGGCGTGGGGGCTCGGCCACTGGCCCTGGCGCCCAGAGCGGCGGCCACGCGGGCGGGGCTTCCTGCAGCGGCGGCGGGACAGCACCTGCGAGCGGGGCATCCAGCCGTCCCTCTACGTCCCATTCTTCAGCTCCCATTCCTGGTGTGGTGAGAGGAAGGGTACAGGTCAAAGCGGCAAGGCGCCAGGAGACAGGCCTGCGACCGTGGATGGTGCGGAAACCCGTTTGGTGTATGCTCAAGAGTTCGGGAATCACCATTGAGCCGGGAGTTAGATCAAGGAGGGGAGTGTTGTCCCGGGGCCCAGAGGCCAAGCCCCACGCCTGATCCCGGCTTCAAGTCCCTCGTCACTGTACTCGGGAGTCCCTCCCTGAAGCTGTGTGCCTGGTTGCTGGCCCCATGAGCAGGGACGCCTTGGTCCCTCCAGGTGTGTTGCTGGCTTCAGCGTTGCTGTGCACTGACCCACCGAGACCCCACGTTTATTCTGGGGAAGCAGCAGGAGCTGCAGTCCCCAAGCCGGTGACTGCTGAGCGCCTGCCGGACACATGGCTCATGCACGGGCTGCAGCAGTGCCCTTGCAGGTCTGACCCGACAGTCAAGAGACTACATAAACCAGACCCTTTCCTGCACTTGTCATCTGCAAATGGTCAGGGGGATGGCCCCGGACAGCTCCCTCCTGAGACCCCTGCCCCCACAACCCCCACCCCCCGCACCTGCAGGGACAGGCACGGACCCAGAACACTCCACGCCTGCTGAGAAAGGGAACAGAAACCTTCAGCAGCTCTTCCTTCCCCAGACTTGCGGTACCCACAGCTTTGGACACTTGTCGGGGAGGACACGAGGTTGCAGATGCGTCTGTAGCCATGGCCGCCAGGGCCACCCTGAGAACACGTCCCGGGGGTACCACCTGTGTTCCTCCATGCCACAAGCCACCTCTCTGAAAGCCGTGGACTTCTAGCCAGTTTGGCCCAGGTCCTGACATGGCTCTGGGACCAACGCCACGATAGCAATGCAAGGCCTGGAGGCCACGGAGGGAGGCCACCTGCCTTCACACCCATCAGAGCAAATTCAATTCCTCCGCTGAACTAATGTAATTCTTCCAGGCATGGTTTTTCTGAATGACATACTTATAGTGACCACCGTCAAGAACTGTTTGCTTTGATAACCTACAAATGGTCTTTAAGTTTTCTGAGAGCTCTAAGTTCAGCATCCAAGCTTCTCAGGGCCGGTCCCATCTGGGGACTGGAGACCACAGTAGGCCCAGGGGGGCTCATTGTATGCCCCCAACATGAGGTTCTGGGCTTTTCACTTTTGAAAAGGAGGCCCCCTGTGGGGACTCGGGAGACAGTGAGGACACGGTGTCTCCCCCCACCCCACCCACATTCCTCCCAGGGCGGCAGGCACGCCTCAGGGCAGGTGTCCCCCCTGCAGGAGGGTGAGCTCACCTTTGCCTTCCGCAGCACGTGTCCCCGGCAGGGGGAGCTGCCTGCCGGCTGGCTCTTCCTCAACACGGCCGCGCTATTCACCGGCACAGGGCCCTCAGCGTCGCTGGTCTCACAGCTGGACATGGGCGAGCTCTCCAGAGTGCGATGCCTAAAAACTGGAGACTGTCCATGCAGACAGAAGACCCCACATGAGGCGTGGTCACCAGGCCCGCTGTATGTCCCAGCGCTCAGGAAAGTGCGCTGGCAGCGAGCGGGGTCTGCCTGGAGGAGCCCCCAGACCACACTCCCCCTGCCCCCATCACTGCTGTGCAGCATATGACCCAAGAGGAAGCTGCCAGGCCCCCCGGTCTGGGTGGGGAGGCGCAGACTCATCCTGAGCTTTTGGAAGGGCAAGTTGCCTATTTGGGCCAAAAGAGAAGACCCGACAAGTAGGGCCAAGATGGGGACCCCTGGGGGAAATACGGAGCACCACTGGAAAGAGGGGACCCCCGACGGGTGATGGGGGTCACCCTAGAGAGATGTAGGGTCACGCATCAAGAAAGTAGCCAGAATGGAGAGATACCTGGAATTTGGAGGCAGGGGTGAGGTGGGGGATTTGTAGTTTGGAGGCGACCTAAAGGGAAAGCAGGTTCAATGAGTGGTGGAGAGAGCAGGTGAACAGGACATCGTGGGAACAGACATCTGTTTCCAAAAGTTTAATTTGGAAGGGGAGGGGCAAAAGGTAGGAGGGGAGCTGCAGGGGGATGGGTTGGGCCAGAGCCCAGAGAATGGGTAAGGGCTCTGAAGGAAGGGAGTGGGGAGGAGAGCCTGGGACGTGGCAGAAGAGACCCCAAGGGGGGTAGGCGGCCGCCCCTACAGGCGGCCAGGGTCCATGGGGTCCACAAGCCCATGTGCCTCCAGCAGGACCCTCTCCAGTTACAGCTGCCTTCTCTGTGCCCGGTCCTGTTCAAGCAGGACGCTGAGACGCTGAGGGGGAGGGTGGTGCTCGCCCTTGCATGCCAGCTCCCAGGACACCCACCCTCCCTGTACCTTGATCTCCCAGTGGGACTCCACCCTTGCTAGAACACAGGCTCCACGGCGGCCACTGTGCCTGGGACAGTGGTCAGCACCCTGCAGGTGCACGGCCAGGGTATGTCTTTGTAATTCACTGAATGAATGAATGAGCTAACCGCCACATGATGAGCCCACACCATCTGGCCAGGTGCTGTGCCCTGAGCTGTGCCAGATGCAGCCATGCCATCCCCATTTTGCAGATGACCAAGTGAGGCCTCGAGAAGGGAGGTGACCTCAAGCCCTCTGAGCCCCGAGCCTGCTTTCCTATACACTGCAGCTAGAGGAAGTGGTACATGGCAAAGGGTTCTGGGATCTTGGTGTCTGGTTCTTGTTGCTAGAACCTGCTTTGCCAGGTGAGGGCCAACTCTATAACATAGAGGGGTGGCCAGTGGAGAGAGATGAGGGGCTGGAGTTTCAGAGAGGGACAGGCTTAAGGCGGTGGTGGGATTTCAGGGAGGCGGGGATGGAGAGCTGGGGCCCCTGGAGACAGAGCCTGTGTCCAGGGCTGCCCGGCTGGCCTTGAGTGCTCGGGCGGCTTCACATCACTACTCTGGGCCTCCGCTTCCTGGTTTGTAAGATAGAAGCGGTGACCCGTGACTCCCCAGGTCCCAGGGACCCAACGGCACTGTCACGAGAAAAGGACAGCAGTAAATTCTCAGTGACTGTTGGTCCAACAAGAGTGAAGGGTAAGTCACTGAAGGGGATCATGCGTATTGGAAAGTGATTTCCATTCATTCTGTGAGACTGGAGGGGGAGGCCGTGTTTCCCGGCACCCGGCAGGACTCCCGAGCCGAGAGACATGCCTCAATCCACCCAGCTACATGGGATTAACGTCTTCAGCTGATGAACTGGAATCGAATTAGGACATGGTTCCAAAGAGATCAGAGGCCGTGCCTTTGATCAGTGGTCCGGAGGAGGGAGGGGAAGGGGGCCTGAGTGCCCACCATCCTCCCACGGAGAGAAGCACTGGGCACACGGCCTGGAACATGTCTAAGGCCGACCCGCGGCTATGTGTCCACTGGGCGGGCGCAGACCTTACCTGCGGGCTCGACGTCCCCGACCTGGGCTCGATGGCCAGCCCCAGGGTGACCCCACCAGCCAGGGCCTTCTTCAGGCTCTCCGTGACCTCCGTGAGCTCCAGCTCCAGGTTGACACGCTCGGCCTCCTTCTGCTTACACTCCTCCTCCAGCCGCCTCAGCTTGTCCTCCAGAACCACCTGGGTCTTCCTGCCTGAAACCCCACAGATGCATGGTTGTTGCAGCCACCGGCGAGGGGCTCCGTGGACGGAGGTCACAGGTAACCCGGCACAGGACCCCGCGGAACTCTCCGGCTCGAGCGGCCCTGTCCTGGGCCCTTTCTACAAAACTCAAGTCCAGCTGTGCTTTCAAAGAGCCGAGGCCCTTCCTGACCACTCCGCTCTCCCGGAGCTGGGAGACCTGACCTAGAAGCCGGAGCCCTCGAGTCTCAGAGAACCCAGACAGAACTCCAGGCCCGAGCCACAGTATGCTCACCTGAACACACGGGCTGCAACGGGTGGCCTGCAGGGGCGCCGTGGACTTGGAAAGTCTGGCTATTTTCCCATTCTGCTGGTTCTGCCTGTTCTCCCCGAGTCCTCTCTCTTGCCCGTGGCGGCGACTACTATAAAGCTTTGCCCCTCGAGGCTCCACACACACTCACTGAATTGCTTTTGTTGAAATGTGTGTCAGTGACACGAGGAGGCAGGTCACATATCCACTGCACGTGTAGGATAATGGGTGCCAGAGGGTCCCCTGACTTCTGTGCGCAGCCCCGGCCTCTAATGCTCATGGCGCGGGAGCTGGTCTAACCTCTCTCCTGCAGACTTGGGACAGCAGAAGCGAGCAATCCTCCTCCTGTCTTGTTGGCCTGGAAGCTCCTCCCACAGGGTCTCTGACTCGGCATTCGGTCCCCCCACAGGTGGCCGGATGTCACATCCCCCATTCCTCCTAGGCGTTATCTCCCACCTGCTCAGCCTGTACCCGACCTCCCAGACTCGAAACTCCAAAAGCACTTCCTGTCATAAGGGTCACTGAGGCACAAAGTCCGGAAGTGCCGGCGGACTGTTCAGGCTCAGGTGCACCAATGCCTCCTTCCCGATCCTCTGCGTCCCTCCAAGGCCTGCCTCACCCAAGCCTGAAGAGTGGGTCTTGCCCAGGATAAGAGCCAGTCTCGAGCTGAGGTGACTACGTTAAACAGGTCCATCCCCAGAACCGGGAACCTCATTCCCAGCTCCTGCTGGAGACGCCCGTCTGGTCCCGACTCGGCTCTCCGACAGCTGCCGTCGCTCTGACTTGCCCTTTGAGAGTGTCTCTGCTAACTCGGCCTATCGTCCCGCTCCCTTCCAAGAATTCAGACACACTGTCCCTTCTCGGGCACAGTGGGCCCCGTCTGTCCCTAGAGACCGCTTACTGGGTTCCGCTTACTGAATCTTACCCGTCCCTGTGGACTGTCCTCTTGCCAACAACCACCGCTCCCCCCTCAACCAGCTGCTTCATCAGACACATGACATGAAACCCCTGAGCATCTCTGTGGCCAGCACCCGAGGCTGCGACGGCCCCCAGCACCACCGGCCTCCTCCAGCCTGTCCCAGGGTCCCCTTCCCCCTGACCCCATCGCCGCAGCACTGGCCCCAGGCTTCCCCACGAGGCTTCCCAATGACGGGCAGCACCGCACGAGGAGGTGCAGTCTTCCTAAGGTGAGAGCCCGTGGGCAGAATGGGAGGAAGAGGAGGCGCTACCCGCGGAGGTGCACAGGCCGCCCGGAACCGTGCCCCTCGCCCCGTACCAGCGTTCACTTCGATGGCAGCCCGCAGGTCCCGCCTCTCCTTCCGGAGCTGGGCCAGACGGTTCCGCAGGGTCTCCTTCCGCTTCCGCAGCTCCTCCTCTTTGCCTTGCAACCGCTTGGCATCGGCTTCGACCCGGTTTTTGCCGTATTTGTACTGGTCGGCATCTTAGGGGGAGAAAAGGCAGCAAAAGAAAACTAGGTTAAACCACCTAACAGGGTGAATCATAAAGCCCGTTTAAGATCGGCCAACGCAGGGGAAGACACTCTCATCCGGTTCTATCGCTAGCTTGGTAAGAAAAAGAACGGGGCCCGTTTGGGCGGAGCAGAATGGTGAGTAGCTGCCATTTCCCAGCGCGGGCAAGAATGGGGGGAGGCGGAAGGCTGGGATGAGCACCCCGCCATCAGCATCGGGGGTCACTCTCGGGTTTGCGTACTTCTGTTATTTTCCAGAACATTTCCATAAGACGGCCACCCTGAGCCCAGTGCCCGCGCTGTCTGGCTCTGGCCGACCGGATGCCAGCTCTGTCCCTGGGGCCGCGGTTGGTGCCCGGCCTGGAGCGAGCATGCGGGCATCTGCTGAGTGAGCGAGCGAGGAACGGAGAGCTGGGGAGTCCTCGCAGAGCAGCGTCTGGGCCTGATGGGCTGGGTTAGAGCCCCGCAGCGAGGCCCCTCGCCTCTCCGTGCCGCAGTTCCCCCATCTGTGAAGTGGCCACTCTCAGGGCCATTTTGAGGGTCCACTTAATATTTACAAAGTACATGAGACAAGCACAAGGTGGGCAGGATGCCAGGGCTCATTAAATAAAAGGAGTGATGGGGCGCCTGGGTGGCTCAGTGGGTTAAGCCTCTGCCTTCGGCTCAAGTCATGATCCCAGAGTCCTGGGATCGAGCCCCAAGTCGGGCTCTCTGCTCAGCAGGGAGCCTGCTTCCCCCTCTCTCTCTGCCTGCCTTTCTGACTACTTGTGATCTCTGTCAGATAAATAAAAATAAAATCTTTAAAAAAAAATAAAAGGAGTGAGTGGAGAAGGAGGAGGAAACCAATCTTCGGGAAACCCCTCTGAGAGTTGGCCAGTGTCACCCTAGTACTTAATGTCACCTTAAAAACCCCACCCCAACCTCCTCTCCTCTAATCACACTGGCCTTTGATAAGTATTAAGCTAGAAGGACCCTCTCTGGAAAAAGCCTCTGAGGAGAGGACGATGTCACAGGTGTGATTTAGGGTCACCGATTTCTGCCCTTCTGCTTGCCTCCCACACCCGATTCCTCCCCGGGGGGCCTCCTGTGCGTCACCACCCCCAGGCTTCACACCCCACAGCACACCCCACCACAATGTTGTCGTTGGCCTGCATGTCTGTAGCCCCACAGGACATGCAGCGACTTCTGGGCAGGAGTGTGGGGTGAGAGTCCCCAGCAGAGGCAGGGGCCAGGGAGGCGGCCATGACCCTGGGCCACAGTGTATCTCCCGGAGCCTCAGCATTAAAGCAGGAGTGGGGTGTAGCCAGCCACATCTTTGTTCCCCATGCCAGAAAGCCCGTCTGGTCTACAGTGCAACTGGCTGAATTCAGCAAAAACAGAGAACGCAATTATTTTTCTCTTTTGTCACCATTAGATGTCACCAAAGTTAATAAAGAGTCCCTACAGAAGGTCTCCTAAAATAAAGGGATAAATCACCTAGGAAATGCAGCGAGCAAGGGCACGGGGAGGAAAGTTGTTGAGAGGAGATCCCATGAGGGTCGGGTTCCACGTGGCAGAATTTCGGGGACCAGCTACCCCCTCCCTAAGTGCACAGCACGGAAATTTTAAATGACAATAGAGAAACCCAACTGCATCAGGGAAACAAGATTGGCCAGAAAGATAAGGTCAAAATAAGAACAATAAAACTGGCTCCTGAGCTGTGTGCTTGAAATGCAGGTGTGAGGACGAGGGAAGTACAGACAGGCGGATGGACAGGCTACACGTTCCCTCAGGGCGGAAGTCCGAGGCTCGTCCGCATACGTGGCCAAGGAAGAGGCCGGCCTCCCCATCCCTGTGTGCTCTCAAACTCTGAACACCCATCACGGGGCCAGAGGGTCAGTAAGTCAGGGAGGGGTGCCTGGCTGCAGCCAGGCGGCCTTGTCTTCACAGACACGGACACGGACTCCTGGCCACATGGAGCCAGATTCTGAAAGTGTAGATGCTACTTACTCCCTTACTCTCAAACCCATCACTGGTGTCTGACTCCCATCCTCCCTGCAAGCCCCTTAGGAGCTCAAGACTCTCGTGACAGCCTGCAGCTCGGCCTCTCCTGCGAGCCCCAAGCAGCTCGATGCCCATGGCCCGGCTGACCGTATGGTCCCCGTGGCAAGGATGCCTCACACGGGTAAGCGCTCCCAGCTGGCCAAAGGGACCGGCGCCCACCGCCCAGGGCTGAAACAAACCCACAGTGCTGTCACTACCACAAATCCTTCTGTGGGGGTGCGGAGTCCCTCACTTGTATCTACTGCTTCTTGGCTCAGCCCCCGCCCCCCAGATTTGGACGCCTGCTCGTCCCTCTGGTTCTGTCACCTGCCAGCTGTGAGGTGCAGTGGGAGCCCCTTTGGTCTCTCAGAGAGGATTTCTGCCTCACAGGGTGGGGCGGGGGATGACACCTACCTGAAGACAAGGCTGGGAGAAGGAAAGGAGACTGTCCCTATGAGCTCGCAGACCACAGGGCGCAGTGGGAACGTGCATCCCTTAGTGATCCTTATAGGGCTGTGGTGCCTGGAGGCCATGTGGCACCTTGATTCCTTCAGTCCCAGAAACCACGGTGGCCACTGGTCTACGCCTCCCACACAGGGACCTGAGCTTAGAGTGTCTACATGGCTTGACCAAAGTCACTACGTCACTCGTAGATCAGGTGCACATGCCGGGGTCTCCTGACCTGAAGCCCCAGGCCCCTTGCACCTACGACCACCTCCTCCTGAAACGCGTGAAACCCCTTCTGCACTTAACGGACAGCTTTACACAACGGTCATAAGAGCTGGGTGAGAAACCGCACCGTCCTGCAATGCGGCAAGGAGGGAGGGTGACGGTGAAGACAGTCCCCTATCTCCAGCTGACCCCCCCCATCTGGCGTCTCTACCTGCACAGGTGAGGAGGAAAGATGGCTCTTATGGCCCCACCCCTGCAAACCACACCTGAAACTTGCACCGAGAAGCTGAACCTTGAACTTACTTGAAGATGTTCGCTTCATACCGGCTACGGAATCCGCCTTTTTTTGCTGGTTGATCGGGGTCTTCCCTTTTCCCATAACCCCATTGGAGGCTACTGGGGGCTTTTTACCCTTCAACTGTTGAAATAGACAGTAAGAAAATTTAAAAACAAACCATAAAACAAAAAAAAACACAAAAAAAACTTTTCTTCTTTTTCAGTAAGTTGTCTCAGTCCCTGAATCTTGCATTTAACCCACCACACACAGGAAACACAAAGGGAGTAAAAAAACCTGTCTGGCTTCCAGACACTGAGCTGCGGTGGTTTTCCTGTGCTGGCCGAGCAGGTCTGGAACTGAGGTCCAAGGCCGGTGAGGGACTTGGACTTGCCCAGTTGGGATACAATAAAAGTCATATAGATTTCTACTGGGATTATGAATGCTCATCAAGAAACTGGACCGGGCAGTTGGGTATCCAAGAGCATTTGGTTGTGATTAGTGAAAGTTTGGGTTTCTAAACACGAACGGTTTTTCTTTCCAGGGGATGCTCTTTAGGGGAGTGGCTTGGCTGAGCTCCAGATTTCGGCCTGAGTGTCTATGCAGTCGGCTGAAGTCCCCATGGGACAAAAAAACCACCTTCTGCTTCACTGACGGATCAGAAGGTGGAGGCAAGGGGAGAACATGGGACCAGTATGAACGGGGTCTGAAGTAGCTACAGGTTCCAAGCAATGGCACCTTCGCCCTTTTGCTACAGGCGGACAAATGCCATGGGTCCCCCAGCTGTGTCATCGATCCGGCTTGGTGGCAGGTGCTGATGGGTGCTGCTGCCATGGGACTCACTTTGGGGAGAATGCCCTCCCTTCAGATTCTGGCTCTAGGATTTGGGACACACTGGAGCAAGTCGTTAAAGTTTTCTGAGCTTCCATTAGCTCATTAAAAAAAATAAATAAAGATACTGAATCCTGTCCACAGTGTTCCTGAAAACGGGCAGAAGACACACCAGACAGGGGCACAACTATGGCACACTGGGGGTGCTTGGTAATTGGAAGGTGTCTCCATTAACCAACAGGTGCCCTATGAGAACGACCAAAGGAGCACAGGAAAATGAAAGGTGCTACAATTCCACTTACAAATGTGTTCCTACTGAAAATAGTAAAGATGAATAAAAACAACACAAGAAACAATGTATCAGACCATTCCAAACTAATCTGGGGACAATGCAAGCACGAGGTGTCATACTCTGTCCCATGATTTCTACCTAACAGAAACTGAATGCCAGCAAAAAAGCAAGTATGGATATAGGTGTGTGATCAGTGAGTGAATCTTGGTTAAAAATCAGAAACAAATCCTAGGCTGTGATTGGATGGAGTCGACAGGCCGCGGGGAGCCAGCAAACCTGAGATGCTAGGGCCCTACCAGGCATTCGGTGTTTCTGAAAATTACCCAAGAAATGGAGGGGAAAGAATGTGAATTAAACTGTGTCCCTAGAGGGGCCTGTAGGTTAAGCCTCTGCTTTTGGCTCAGGTTATGATCCCAGGGTCCTGGGATCGAGCTCCGCATCGGGCTCCCTACTCAGCGGGAAGCTCATTTCTCCTTCTCCCTGTGCCTGCTGTGCTGCCTACTTGTGCTCTCTCTCTAGCTCTCTCAAATAAATAAATAAAATCTTCAAAAAAAAAATAAATAAAGTGTGCCCATCTGCTTCATGTTTGCAGAGAATTCTCATGGCCCCTGGACTCGTGAGCAAAGCACACAACGTTCGTGGGCGGAAAGCGCATGAACTCACGCAATGAACATTTACACTGAGCCGTCACTGTTTGCCGTAACTATGGGGTATGGTGCCAACGGCAGCTCGACACCAAGGTCATCATTGGTCATGCAATCACAATCCAAAATTCTCATTACCATCGACTTGTTTTTAGGCGTCCCACTTTCAGACTCATTATAGAAGAACCCTGTCATACCCTGAAAATCCTGCTTAATGTGGAAAGATCGGAAGCAATTACTACCTGGAGTCCAGCGTTCCTCGTGTACCTGTGATGGAAATCTTTAAAAAAAAGCTTGCGGTGCAAGAATCTTCTGGAATGTTTTAGTGTTCCTGCCCTTGTTTAAAATATTTGGCTTTAGTCAACGTACCGCACAAAACTCACAAGGGACTTTTCCGGGAACAGAAAGAGAGCCAGATTTAGACCACGAAATACCGGGCTTCTTCAGCCGCGAGCTAGTTCGGGGCGCTCCATCCGCCCCCAGGCAGCCCCACGGGGATTGCATTTGCAAACTCCATTCTGGTGGAGACAAAAGTCCCACCTGACCCTCAGTGAGTCTCATCTGCTAGGGGCCGGTGACCACCCCCTGCAGAGGACCGTGATTCAGACAATTCTAGAACAGGATGGAAGAAGATGCTGTACCTGAGTGCTGAGCCCGAGAGACGCCCTCCCCAGAGATGAGGGGTTAGTGGGAGGCAGACTGCAGGAGGGAGGGTATTTGTAATGGTTACAGAACAGTTTGTCGGGAGGCGGCCTAGAAGCCTTTCTGTCAGCAGGCGGGTAGCGCGCAAAGATTTTCGGAGACGGCAAGTTATCATACAGGACCGCGTTATCATAGAGCACCTCTTCTCCCAGGCCCCTGGCACCGGAAGCAGGAGGGCCGTCTTCGGGGTCCCACTGCAACACACAGCTTCGTCGTTAGTGCCCTCGGTCACGGAAAGCATGGTAGAGATTTTAGTACATTGAGATATTATTAGTACCCCCAGAACACATGCAGGTACCCCGTAAAACACGGTCACCGATGGAACGCACACACACACGCATACCCCCAGAACACATGCAGGTACCCCATAAAACACGGTCACCAATGGGACACACACACACACACACACAACACACGCAGGTGGACAACGTTTCTGCTTCGAGGTTTCAGCCAAGGTTTCTTTTTCCCTTGAATCATTCCCAGGGTAACTGGCTTAGGAAATTTTTGTGTCATTCTGTTTTTTTAAGATAGAGGGGAAAAAAAGAACTGATTTGACATTTCTTTCTTCAAAGAGCCAGATTTTGGAAGTTCTAATCTGGAGAGCAGAAGCCACAGGACGTAAGGAGAGGCCTGCCAGACTGGGGCGGGAGGGGGGTTGGTGAAACCCAGAGGTCTGGCCGCCTCCAGAAAGCACCTTGTGATCCCAGAGAAGCACTTAAGTTTATAGTCGTGACTACGCCTGGATGTTGTTTGAAGTCCTTAACAATTGTTGACCCGTGTGGTTCCCAGGGGACTCTCAAGAGGCAGGGGGAAACTGAGGCAGAGCCGGGCTCCTACCCGCACAGTGAGCTGCCTCCCAGCTGCAGGCTCTCCCAGGGGAGAAAGGCCCCTCCTGACCCTCCCCATCCGTCAGGCAGGCCCCAGGGACTTGGATGGCACAGGTGACTCTTACTGGGCCCCCAGCGGCCACACTTATGCCTCAAAGAAGCCCAACGACCAAAACATAGTCTGTCAAAAGAAAGAAATGCAATCATTGTAGAAAAGAGGACCTTTCAGCATATAATGGATATAATGGCATCGTCTTAGCAGAAAACCTTTTTACAAAGGACTGAAATAGCTACAGGCCGCTTCAGAGCCTGGACGTGAAAGCATAAATGAAAACCTAAACTTACAACTGCAGCCAGAGCCCTTTCCATTTTAAAGGTCTTTGTAAATTGCTTTGCATTTACCAAAAGGAGAGAGAAATATTAATTCCTATGTTGTGCTCATCTTACCCTATTTTTGTACCCCTCTGGCAGCGGCTCCTTCTGCCAGACTGTAATCACAGCCTTTTGTTACGGAAATAGGAACAGCCTGAAACCTCAAGGGAGGAGCCCTCTGTCCCCTCGCAGCCACTTCCAGGGGTCTATTTTTGTGACGCGGGGACACTCCTATCATCTAAACACAGCGGCCCACGCGCGCAGCCCAGATGGGACGCCCCCGTGAGGTTGACCGGCACACGCTCGTTTCGAAGCTCACCATCCCCTCCCCACACACCAGAGGATCGGGCTCCCGGGAGCGCTTCCAGAACAGACTCCATAGCGGTTTCAGGATTAAATCCTTTTGGAGACTTCGATCTGGGGCTGGCGTCACGGGGTCCCCCAGGGTGACAGAGATCGGTGAAAGGTCAAGGTTCAGCTCAGAAAGTGCAGCAGGAAAGGACTGCATGGTACTGGGGCCCAGTGTGGAGGAGCAGACTTCAAGGAGAGGCCCGAGCTTCAGGACAGCCGTCACTAAAGCCAGCGAGACGCCGAAGCCGCGCACAGGACCTTGCGTTGTGCGCCGTCCTCATGCGGAAGGAATGGCTCACAACTGCTGAACGCAGAGCCCTTGCAGAACAGTGGGCCTTTCTCTCTGACACAGAGGGTGCTGCGGGGACCCTAAAGCAAGCTCCTTCCTGGGGGCCAGCCTGAACCTGCAGGACCCACACGGAGGTGCAAGGGCCGGTGGGTGGGGTGGTGCTTGGGTGGGCCTGGGGCTCTTCCGGGCGCTCAGCCCGCCCTGCAGCTTCCGTGTTGAAGGAAAGGAAGGAGGGAAAAAAACCTTTCAGGGAAAGAGGCCCAAAGGGGCCCTGGGGCGGGCAGGGCTGGAGGCAGGTTTGTGTTGCTGTCCAGCCGCGGAGGCTGAGGGCCCAGAGCGGCAGAGCATTCCGTGGGAATGGGTCTGGGGGCTGGGCCCACAATGAGGGCGACACTGCTCAGGGGGGCTGTGGGTACCCAGAACCGTTGGGAGCCAGCACCGCTGGGGCCACCCTGGACGTGGCTTGTGTCCAGGAAGACGCACAGAGACCGCTCCAGATCCTGCTCTCACAGAGGTCGCCACGCAGCCTTCCCTAAGTCAGGGCCACTGTAGGCAGCAGGAGCACCTCAAACTCTGGAGATCCCGGGAGTGAGGGTGGAGGTGGGGATGGGGGTCAGGAGCGCACATTTTCTCATTGCGCCGGGACTCTCTCCCCACCCCAGCCCTGACCATCCCAGCCTCAGACAGGAAACCAGCTCAGGGACCTGTAGGCAGGATGGGGTTGTGCAGTGGCTCTGCTCCTACCCCTCCCCCATGTCCCAGGGCGGCCCCTGATCTTCATGTGAGCCTGCCAGGCCTGGCCCTCACTCTGCGCTACACCCCCACCCCCTCTTCAGCCCTGCTGGACCAGAAGGCCATTATCCCTGGTGCAGAGCCCGGGCGCTGGGGGACGTGCAGAAAATCGGGAAGGAGGGAGAAAGGGTGGGACACGGGACACAGGACACAGGACACATAGCATGTGGTAACTGGCTGGCCACTTCTGACCCAGAGCACAGAAACCTTCTTTTCAGTCTGTTTCTATCTCTGAGATCCAGGAGTCCTTGATCGACCTCTGCACCTCCCTCAAGAAGACTGTGGTCTCCCCATTCCTGCCTCGGGCAGGTGTGGATTTTATGACCATGGAAAACAGGGAGCCAATTGGGGACTGCCACCAAAGTATGGAGAAAAGAATGCGTGAGCAAAACAACAAGAAAAAAATCTAACAGACTTTCCAAGCTTGAAAAAAACCAACAATCAACACATCCTATGCAAACTTTCGAACTAGATCTTGACACAGATGCCCAGACTAAGCCCACCCAATCCTGGGGGACCAATGGCAGGCTTATATCTTGAGTGCCCCTCTAGGAGCCTGTGGACTCCATGGGCCTCATGCCTGGTGCCCAGGAGATGGCTTGGGGCCTGGCCCAGGGAGCATGCCAGGTGGCCTTGGCCGTGGCAATGCTTCTTGTGATGGGTGTTCCCTGAGCTCTTTTCCAAGCACTGACTGCTGAGCGATAACCTGTACTGTACTCTCTTGTGGTGTATCCAGGTTACAGACCCTGACGTGCTAGCCTTCACTCAGTATTCTGGGCCGTGCAGAGACACTTAAGTGATGACGAGGACCCTGAATGACACTCAGGGTCCTGAGGTCTGGTTCCCTACTTGTGCAGATGCAGATGGACGGCTAGTCAAAAACCAGCAGAGGAGGGAGGAGAAACAGTTTTCATCCTTGCCCCAGAGCATGGCGGAAAGCCCTGGGGCTCCGGGCTGGAAGTCAGGGGTCCTCAGGCATAGGTGTGCTCCCACCGCCCCACGTCTAACACGCCAGAGCCCGGACTGTTGCCAGGAGGATGCACTCACCGAGCCGTTAATGCACGGGACGTCGTCGTAATGCAGGGCCGTGCCGCTGGGGTGCGCGTAGCCGTTGGCGGTGCTCCCCAGGTACGGGTTGGCAGAGATGCCGCGCCTGTTCATGAAACTGCAGGAGAGGAAGGGGGTTAGACCCTCCCCCAAGCAATCCTGAATCTTCCCTGAGTCCAGCTGGATGCTCAGGGCCCAGCCAGAGGCGGCAGGGGACAAAAGCACCAGCACCCCTGGCAGACGTGGTGTGTCCAGTGAGTACCGAGGACAGCGTCGAGAGCAGCCACCCTGTAGAACGGTGGCAAGGACGGTGGTGGAGCATGCTGGACATGAGACACCGTGTGGCACGGGACCGTGCTCAGTACATGCCACGCCTTCCGTGTCTGCAGGGCGCAACGAGGGCGCCTGGCTGGCCGCCGGCTGGCTGGGGCAGTGGCCCCACCCTCCGAGGGGCCCATGCCGTCTGTGGCTACTCTCTAGCATTTTCCTGCCTGTCAACGTCAACACTCAAAGGCAGAGACCCAGGGGGCAAAAGTGAGGGACTGACCATCTGACGTCTCTTGGGAAACTTCACGGACCCCCAGCTCTTTACAGCACCCAGTCCACATGCATTGCTCTGGTTCCCGTGTTCGTGTGGCACCGCCGCCTCCCACCTCAATGCCACTCACCTCCGGCTGGCCCTCCCACGCCTGAACTTGGGGGAGGTGGCCAGCGGCCAGCGCACATCTCTGGGAGGCCAGCTGGAGTGGTCACTCTCTGCGCACACGGTACTGGTGTCCATTGTGCGCCCAGAGCAGTCAGAGTGCTGCGTGGCCTGCAGGGCTTGGTGGCCACCTGCCATCTCTCTGCTTCTTCGTCACTCCGCAGTCCCCTCTGCCCAGCAGCTCTCCTCCGGAGCCCCCCACGGTTCTTCCCGCCCCGGCGGGGACTCACTTCCCCGGGAGAGCCCCACCTGAGCCCCCACAGTAGGCAGAACTCCCCCGCCCCTCAGAGTCGCTATCCTTCCCCTCCATGTGTGTGTCGCTCATCACTCCTTGATGTGTCCTGTGATGAGCTCGTCCCCCAACATCAGCCCCCAGAGCATGGCCGTGGTCCCTCCTGCTTGTTCTGGACCTCACGTGTTGGCCCGGGAGGCTCTTGGCCAAGGCCTGCTGCACCCATGGACACGCCAGTGGCTGACTCGTGAAGTTATGTTTGTTAGAAGTGGGTGATATGAGTGCCCAGGGAAGAGAGGACCCCGAGAGCACTTCCTCTGAACTAAAATAACTAAACAGCTAAAACTACAATAGTCTGCAATATATATATATATATATAAGCTTTTTTTTTTTGAAGCCCCACACTGGGTGTGGAGCCCAATGAGGGGCTCAAACTCATGACCCAGAGATCGAGATCTGAGCTTCAATCAAGAGTTGGAGGCTTAACCCACTAAGCCACCCAGGGACCCCCAACCCCAAAATGATACTGTGTTCCTTCGCAGGATCTTACATTTCTGGGATAACCAGATGTATAACAATGGGAGGAAAGGACACTGGTGAGGGCAGGACAGGGAATGAGGTCTCCGGGGAAGCCAGCTCCTGGTTCCCTGGGGAAGCCCAGGAGCCGGCTGTCCAGGGGACCCCTCTCTGCGGTTCTGCATGCAGGTGCGCCCTCTGCTGGGTGAAGGTGGGCACGGCAGTCCCACCTCACACAGGCTCTTCAATGTGTAACAGACAAAACCTATAGGATTATTCTGTACCTACAATACAGATAATTACATATAGGAAAAGGAAATATATAGACAAGGAATAAACAAGAAAGAAAGAGAAATTTAAGCATGTCAGTCTTCTGCCACAACAGAGGATTTTTTTGTTTTAAAATACATATTTTTCTAACGTAAACGTCTCATTAGAGGGGATTTGGGGGTTAGGTAGCATGGGCACAGCTGACCCTGCATGGCGGTCACTGACTGGACAACCAGAGCCCTGGTGGTGGGGACTGTTGCACGCTTGCTGGGTGCTGGGACACCAGGACAGAGCGGGGCCCACCAGGGACGGGACAGACCTCGGAGCGGACACAAGCAGGGTGCTACGAGTCAACGGGGTGTGGGAGGGAGTGACGTCCCACACATGCGCAGTCCAGCTGGAAGTGGCCTGGGCCTTTCAGAGAGGGACCTGTGCTCCCAACACAGACATCTGGGCCCTAGGCAGCCCGGGAGCCCCGTGTGCGGCCCGGGACCCCCTCCTCTTGCCATAGAGGCTTTAGCCACATATAATAGCGGAAATGACGTAAGAGAGGCCCAGGCCACTTGTTGAAGACATAAGCCTCTCCAAGAAGTACAGGTACTGTGTGAAAAGCCAACGTAAGGTCTACTGCCTAACCATGGCCAAGTGTATGGTTCTGGGGCAGGACGGGCGTTGCCGTGGCTGGGAGGCCGGCCCCGCCCTTCACCCCAGCACCTCTCCACCCACCCCGCAGGAGCCCATATCTGCCTCCCGCCTCTGTGGACCGGCCACAGCAGTGCATCGACAGAATACGTCCCCTTGCCTCGGTCTTATTCCCCCAGCACAACACCCTCGAGGTCCATCCCGCTGTAAGGGGTTCCGGTGAGAAGGCAACTCCGGTTGATGGGTCCCTCCTGGTCTGTCTACTGCCCTCTCTGCCCACACTGATCCACAGCCTTTTAGCCCCCCATGCCTCCTCCCCCCAGCCCACCATGACTAGCAATAGCTCATGAGTCTTCAATGGAGCGTCACTTGAAACAGTTTCAGGGAAAAAATCCAGAATGTTTCCCTTGTGTCATATAATCTATGCACCTCATTTAAAAATAGGCTAGGCCTGGGGAAAATAAATTCCAACTGTTTACCATTATTGATATTCCTAAATACACCACTTCTCCCAGGAGAAGTTAAATGACTGTTTCTTCTTTTACTGCCTTCTTCCCAAAACATACCACTGTCCTCCCCCTTCAGACATATCCAGCTCACAGACACTCCCCCGATGACCTTGAAAGAATTCATTAACCAACTGCCAATTTGCTTAAAAGCAAAAATTAATTTAATCCCAGGACATTTATGACACTCGCAAGCTGCCATATTTTATATTTTGAACATCATTTGCTTGTTAAATCTCTTCTCTCTAGTTGTACGCGCGTGTTCAGCTAGAACACCAAAAACCGAAAATAACCTTTATTGCAAACTAACATTTATAAAGGTTTTAATGAGGTAGCAAAATTCCTGTAGCCCTAAACTCCTTATGCATGTATTTTTAATAAGTAATTTTTCAATGTTGCCATCTACGTCCTTTCTCAAACCTGGGATCTTCCCCCATTTGGTTAGATGAATACTCATCTGGAAGGCAGAGGCAGAGTTTTGTTCTAGGGGAACTGTTAAGGGAAGTTTCGTTTTAGGGGAAATGCTGTTACTTGGGCTGCTCTGCGGTGTGGTTACCAGTGGCTGATCACAGCTGGAGACACACATGCACAACCACGGGCCCTGTGCTCCGTGAGTTAATCAAGTTCCAAAGAAGCAGTTAAGCACCACAAACTCCTTTCTCTCAGGTCGCTCTAGATGCGGAGATTTTGCAAGACCCGGTTTATGGATGTTACATTTCTCGAAGAGCCACTGGAGTAAATGTGCTCGTTTACTGCGTGTGCTGAGTGATCGGGGGCTCGCTGTAACCCACGTGCCCATGGCTGAGGGGAAAGAGTGTGGTTATGGAAAAATAGTGAACAAGAACAGAAGAGTCAGTACTTGACTGTCATCCCGATTTGACACAAAGGACAGTCTGTAAGAACGGGGAGTCTGGACTTTAGGAAACCTCTAGGGTCACTGGGCATTTTCCGGAAGAGCTGTATGCAGAAATTAATTCATGTGGGCAAGGCTATTCACCTGAGTTGGCTGTAGCCTGGGCCTAATCCCTCCTAGGAGCCCACGTTGCCTCCACTGGCCCCAGAGCGTCTCAGCCAAGCCCTAAATGTCCCTTTTATGGCACCACTCGAGAGACACACACAGACTGTGCGAACTCGCCGCACGCACCACGCGTGTGCTCGAACTAGACGGTGGAGCTCCTGGAGAACAGGCCAGCGTCGCTGTGGACAATGGGTCTCCCCATCGCAGAGCACCAGTGGGTCTGCCCAAATCGGCTGCTATGTCCGCCGTCACCTGCGGACAATATGACCCCATCACCTGCTCTGTTGTGAGCCACCTGTCTGATTGTTTCCGCAAATAAAGTTTTATGGGAACACAGCACATCGGTTCCCTTACCCAAAGTCTGTGGCTGTGATGGCAGAGCGGGTAGTTTCAACAGTAAACATTTGGCCCCTGAAGCCAAAGATACTTACTGTCTCGCACCTCACAGAAAAAGTTCGCCACCCCTGCTCTGATAGAAAACACGGAGGGAGGAAATGACAAATATTTCAGCAGAGTCTGGATCAGTATTACACAAAAGCGACAGTCTTTAGTAGGTTTCTCCCCCAAGTCTAGGCACGCAAAAAGTAACAATTAGGGAAAGAAGAGCAGATCTTACCAGAAGGTCTGTTTGGCCGTCTGGATGACATTTGCAGACGTTTCCACGTCGATGTAGTCGTAGTGCAGGGCCCCAGGGTCTGTGGACGACCCTGTCTCGGCCAGCAAAATCCCAATCCACCTGCCCATGTCCTCCGAAGAGGAGGCCTGGGGAGAAGGGAGAAGTGGGCATGTATTTAAGTGGCGGTAAGGAGTCTCGCATTCCCCCACACGTCCGCCCAGACCCTGCGTAGCAGTGAAGGGCGGGCGTGCGCCTGGAAGCACGTGGGGAGCACGAAGAGGCACAGAGACACGGTCCGGCCCACGTGATGCCCTCACACGTGCACACTAAGTCCTGGCGCAGGATGTGACGGCATGATGTCCACCTGAGGAAACAAAATCGGAGTCCTGGGGTGCCGTGCTGTCACTTTGGGGAAAGGCAGCAGATGTGTGGTGTAGAAATTACCATGGGGAGTTAAATCTCAGCTGAAGGAAGTTGCCTAGAAAGCATCATTAATTTGGCAACAAATTCTGGCCAGAAGGAGGAGCTCCTCTAGCCTCTGCTGGCCTGAAATCCCATGGGGCCCATGCCTCCCTGGGCCCTGCCCGAACTCTGTCTCTAGTGCCCCAGACCCTCTTTAGCCCTTGCTGGGGCCTCCTAACCTGGCCTGAAAAGGCCATCTTAATTCTCTTGATTAGGTGGTACAAACAACTTTCTTTCCATCTGTTGTGTTTGTACCAGTGGGATTATGCTTTCTAGTCAGTAGCTGCTTTACGTGTGACATTTTAAAGATGTTTGAAATGGTCCCCACCCCAAATTGAACCCGTTGAATGTGCAGGTTTGAGTGAGAGCCCTAAGATCCTGTTCATTAAATTTTTAAGTTGTCTTCACTATGTGATTTAGAAAATCAGAAATTTTACATTTATACTGGTGTTCAAAACATCTGATTCATCAGAATATAATGTTTAAGGTTTAGGGGACACTGAGCTATTTAGTAAGTGCATGAGTTAATGGAATGTGAAAGAAAAATATTTTCATTAAAATTACTAATTTTTAATATAAAGATCTATTTTTAAAATTTATTTATTTGAGAAACATGGAGAAAGAGAGAGCACAAGCAAGGGGAATGGCAGGCGAAGGGAGAAGCAGGCTCTCCGCTGAGCAGGGAGTCCGACACGGGACTCGATCTCAGGACCCGGGGGATCATGACCTGAGCCGAAGGCAGACGCTTAACGACTGAGCGGCCTGGGCTCCCCAGAAAGATCTATTAGGTCTAGCTTAAGGACTAAAGAGAATGAGGTTTTCTATTTATAGCCCTGACAAGTTGAACATAGCTCAGGATACACGTAATCGTAAATATTCCCAGAGCTGTTAACGTGACAGAAGCCACTTTTCCTGCGCTCATGCAGTTGGCTGTAACCAGTCCTCCCTAGCCAGGACTGAGTGAGGCCCCAGGACAAGCCGCAGGCACTCCAGTCCCGTGCCTCACAGAGGGAGAGTGTAGCCAATGTTCGTGGAATTAAAGTGAATTCATTTGAATACTTGGGTAAATAAAAATCCCATATATTATCTTCACCGGAGGTCCTTCTGTCCTTCCCCAAAACAAAATCTGCAGCCAGGCTGTGTCTGCGACTGCGCCCATACTGACTGGCTGCTACTATTCTATCTAAGCATTTTTAACAAGTATTTGAACACGCTATGTAACGTGAGATTGATTCAATTACTCTGGAGCTTATTAACTGTTCTCTTCATAAAAAAATATTCTTGTAAAATATTCTCTTGTAAAGCCTGGGTGGCTCAGTGGGGTAAGCCTCTGCCTTTGGCTCAGGTCACGATCTCAGGGTCCTGGGATCGAGCCCCGCATTGGGCTCTCTGCTCAGCGGGGAGCCTGCTTCCCTTCCTCTCTCTCTGCCTGCCTCTCTGCCTACTTATGATCTCTGTCAAATAAATAAATAAAATCTTAAAAAAAAAAAGACCCTGTGATGTTGGGCTGAAATGAGAGGTATTAGTTACAATCCCATGGCTCTTAATAAGAAATAGATACGGAAGTGTACGTATGAACGCACATCCATGTGTCTACAAAAGCTCACAAATACGTACATGTGAAAACACACACACACACACACACACACACACACACACACACACCACCCCAGGAGGTCCCAGGACCATGAGTCTGAAGCCGGCCGCAGTCGGCCACAGTCCATCCAGGCCAGCCTCATGCGCTATCAGCCCAGGGTACGAAGAACTCCAGTGTTAGTCTCCCCCCGCGCCCCCTGCCAAAAATAGTCATTTCTGTGAAAAGAGTCTCGGAAACAATCTCCTATATCCTATCAAGACCTTTGAGATGGCCTCATGGGCCACCGTGATCTTGGCCCCAAGCCCTGGACTTGCTCCCATCCATCTATAACTATAGTCATTCAGAATCTGGCTCTATGCCCGAGTAAGGGAGTGCCCCCGAGCCATGCCAGCAAACCTAAGGCAGCCTCATTCCCGCCACTGACATGGCCCTCATCCGCCAACTCCGAGGGTTCACACCCCTGGTACGCAGGCACAGGTGTGTGTGCGTGTGAGTCTTTGCATCTTAGTCACGATAATGTAAACGCACAAAAAGAGAAAAGAAGGTCTGAATTCACAGTGGGCAGAAAATATATAGTGTAATAGAGGGAAATAAAACTGCCAGTTTTCAGCAGAGAGCTAAGAAACCAGCTCCATTTGCTATTCTGCTCTGGAGAAGAATTCGTTCCAGGAGAGCAGGCAGACATGGAACGAACGCACACAAAGCCAAGGGCTCTTCAGAATTAAAGATGGTCTTTCGTTTCTGTAGGATTGGCAGACAAGCCATGGTCTATAAGCTTGTCTAAAAATCTGTGTTTTGTCTGTAGAGAAGAATATTCCTAAGGGCAAGTTAAAGAAATAACGTCGTTTCACAGTGGACCACAGTCAGGGGAAAAATGAGTTATATTTATGCTGCTTTCAGGAACCAGTACACTGTACGGAGTCCCGTATCTCATCTCCATGCAAAGGCACGCGGGGGAAAGGAAGTCTGGCGGAGGGCTGGCGCAGGACGGCTGGTAAGAACGGGCAGCAGCCCAGGGAGGAGGCAACAGAAAAGGCTGGCAGAGACCACCACGGTGGGGGGGTGGGGCATGAAGGACATGGCTGGAAGCCACGGTGCCCTGGGGAAGGATCTCGGAGTGTGGCTGCAGATGGCGCCTTACCTCCAGCACGGCCACCTCTTGCCCGTTGCGAAGCAGTCGGAAGGTCAGGGGATGCTTGGAGTCCAAGCCCGGGATCACGTCACAGCCGCGGAGAGGAACAGACACGATGTGGGTCTTGAGATCGGTCCTGTCCTTGTGGAAGACGAGTCTGTTATCCTTGACCCGGCACCAGCGCTCCCGCCAGCGGCTGTTGGAGAGCACGTTGAGATAGCCTGCGGGGGGACCAATGGTGGGCAGTCAGCACGCGGAAACCAAACCCGCACCCTCTGCGGCCCGGCCACTCCCTTCAGCCAGCTCTCGGGCTCCTCGTGAGGCAGACGGCCCACCCCAGAAGCCCCCGCACTCCCGCAGTTTGAGGATGTTGTCAGACAGGCGAAGCCCACCGAGATGGGCTTGAAAGGCTTCGGTCTGAAAGCCCGTGTCTCTGACCCTGCATGACACTGTTACCACTATGGGGAGACCCACGTACCCCTGCACACGGGATCAAACTGTAAGAACAGCAACTGTCATTTCTACAAGAGGAAGGCTCAAATACGGGAAACCGATGGCCCTCGTTTGTCACAAACAAATGAGCAGGCAAGCACACACCATGGGAGCTGAGGAGGCATGGGATCCAGGTTTCAGGGGTGGGGCCTTGCGTACCAGCTCCATAATGCAAGGAGGAGACCGCCCCCTGCCTTTGACACGGGGGAAGGCAGCGACATGGCACAGAAAACTCAGGTCCAAGAGGAAGAAATAAAACGAGGACACTTTAAGTCATCCAGCCACCTTGGCAACTCACGCACGTGTGCGCACACGTGCCCATGCCCACACGCCCCGAATCCTCTCCAGTTCTGATTTTTACGAAGCCTTCCCAAAGGGTTTGGGAGAGCGCATCTGGCTTCTCTCTGGGTCTCTACCACACTTTGTTTCTGCATCCACACATCGTTAGCCATGGATAAGTGCTAGGCAATCCCATAAAACAGAACCCCAAGCACTCAGGTAAGTTACAGGGCTCCTAGACGCTCTCTGCCCGACAGATAAACACTTGCTCAATGAATTCCCGAGGTGAACGTGAAGAGTGGAAGCTTGCCTTCGGCTCAGCGTGACATCCGGTCTACTGATAACCCCTAAATGCCAGAAGCACTGCTTCTCCCGCAACCAAAGCTTACACTTGGGGCCCACACGGCTGTGTTTATGAAATAAGAGAGAAGGGGGAGAAGCCAACCCAATGGCTCAAGGGCAAGGGACCCAAGTTCCTTGTATTTTGCATATTTAGGAGGGAGTGCAGGGAGGAGGAGAGAGGCTGGGGTCTGACTGGAGTCTGAAGGGGCTCCTCTGCAAAGGAGTGGGGTTACTCCTGATGTGGGACTGGGGCAGGCCACCTGGAAAACCGGACCTGAAGCTTTTTAAAAAAAAATTTTAGGGGCACTTGGGTGGCTCAGTGGGTTAAAGCCTCTGCCTTCAGCTCAGGTCATGATCCTGGGGTCCTGGGATCGAGCCCCGCATCAGGCTCTCTGCTCGGCGGGGAGCCTGCTTCCCCGTCTCTCTCTGCCTGCCTCTCTGCCTACTTGTAATCTCTGTCTGCCAAATAAAAAAAAATCTTAAAAAAATTTTTTTAGAAGATTTTTATTTGTCAGAGAGAGAGAGCGAGAGAGAGCACATGCACACAAGGAGGGGAGAGAGAGGACCGCGCCGAGCGTGAGCCACCATGCGGGGCCAAAGCCAGACGTGGTGGTGTATTTAAGAGGAAGCAAGCGGCGCACAGCAGATGTCCAGGAACTTAGGGAACTCACGGGTGAGCGAGCTTCACAGGGAAGTCCTGCCCTCCAGGATACTCACAGACCTTGTGGCTGGGGCTGGTGCGAGGGGCACCCCCTGTGCCCGAGTGGTTCAGGGGCAGGCGCAGGGACATCTACAGACCTGGCAGCAAGTGAGCACGGGAGACAAAGGCTTGAAACATCCAATGACTGGGTGACAGGAGCCTTGGAAACGACCGTAGGAGCCTGGCCACGACGCACAAGGGGACAGGGAAGTGAGGTGGTAAGATGTCTCTTGAGGAATCTAAGCTGTAAGACCTCAGAGCACAGTGGACTTCTCGGTGACAGTGACCAGGTTCCATTCAAGCTGGTACGTGACTTTCTACTGAAGAACTCGGCACTTGGGGACACTGTCTCAGGGGCCCGGTGGCCATGTGGAGGGAGCAGTTACTGAGCACACTCCACTCAGCAGGGGGATGGTCATCCCTGGGACAGGTCAAGGCACTCTCAGGATATTTCCTTCCCCGAGTGAACCCGGCCCAGTCACCAAAGTTATGGATCTCTTGACATTTGAGTCATAAAAGGGATGATTATATTGGACAAACCCTCGTTTTATTTAGAGCATGACATCATAGGAAATGACCACGTCTTAATGCCTTTCTCAGATTTATTTTCAGTTCCGAAAAGGGAAGAGCAAAAAGAAAATCACAGCGGGTAAGGCCTGTTTCTACAAACAGGAAAGCCCGTGGTAACCAGGCTCACTGTCCTTTGCTCTTCTCTGAGAGGGGCAGCCCTACAGTCCCATCTTCCGGCGGTGGGGAGCCCAGGGAAATGAAGACAGTCCATCGGAGGCATCTGGGGTCACGGGGTAGGTTCCCATGCCCCCTGACATGCTGATGGGGTGAGGACACTGGGTCCCAATGGGCCCCAAGCATAGTTCAGCTGGACCACAAACCGGCCACCAGGTGGTGCCAGAGTGTAGCCAGGCCTTGGGATGTGGGGACCACGGGGGTCCTCCAAGAGTCCTCCAGTGAGAACCGCTCTCCCCACCCCAGGCTCACCCGCCAGCCCAGGTCAGTTCCACAAACTGCATGAGGCAATTTCAATGCAATTTGATTTCTTTTTAGATCCCATCCATCGCGCTAGGTGAGATGTTATTGGTAGTATCTTTGCAGTTGGGAATGTCACTGGTGTTTTGAGATTATTCTTGCTCTGAATTCGAAGATTGCTCGCAAAACCATGGCAAGAGGCTCAAGGTTTCATTAAAGCCATAAAAGTAATACTACGGGCCCGAGATTAAACAAACACCCGAGCAGAGGGGGGACAGACACAAACGCTCTTGCATTCCACCATTTTGAGACCCAGCATCCTGGCCTCCACGCGAGCTGCTCTTGAGTTCAGGCAGCTACGGAAGGACAGGTAAAGTGGGGCCAAGTGTCCCCGAGTTCACCTCCATGGGGCGGGACATGTGGCGTCTGCCTGCCAGGCCTGTCTCAGTTTATAATCAGCTGTGAGGAGACGTCAGGGGGAAAGGGGGGCCGGGGATACGAAAGGTCATGATGCTGCCAACAGCCAGACCCTGTCCCCCCGGCGCCCAAGCCCCCACCTAACCTTCTTAGGGGCCTGTCTTCCAATAGGCACACATGCCCCAGAACGGGGATGCTGATGCCCCAGCTCTGTGACTTATACCAAGAATTCCTTCCGCCTCTTGATGAAAGGTCGCCTGATTTTTTGTGGGGTAGATTGTGATAGAAGGTAAGAAAACCCCTCCCGCTGGAAACTACACAAAGTCCCCGAACAGCTGAGCTAGGAGGGGCCCTGGAAACACCCAGCAAGGCCATCAGGCTAGGCCAACTTCTGCTGCCCCCTAGGGCCCCCCACCTGGGGCCTGGGACCGCGCCTTCCGTGTTTCTGATGACCCAGACCACACACAGGCACTGTGATGATGCTGCCTTGAATCCGTCTGCGTGCTCAGGTCTTTTTAAAAATAAGCACGTCAGGTGAACCAATGAGAGATCACAGAAAGCATTTACTGAGTATAAATTACGACCTCGTTATGAAGCACCGAGCTTAGCGCTCATGATTTCATCTTTAATTTTTTTAGGAGAACAAGTTCAGGAGGAGCCTGTCTCACAGAGGGAAGAACCCGAGGCTCAGGGAGGCAACGCAATTTGCTTAAGCTAATTCATTCCGTCTGTGAGCTGGCTGAGCTGCCTTTGTCTGCTAGGCTCTGTGCCGGGCGCCGGGGCACGGTTGGGGTGCACGGTAGTTCTTGGTCTCACCACGGAAGGCAGGAGAGACCGCTGCAGCATTGCCCTGAGATAGGACCATCAGAGGCTCTGACCCGGGCCACACAGAGACTTGGGTTTCAGTGCAGGACCCTGTTTGCGCAGCTCCCAGAGTGCAGAGAAGGTGGCCAACCAGGAGGCCGGAGTGCGGGTCCAGCGGGGGACAGACGGGGCAGAGAGGGAGAGGACAAACACTGGACCTCCAGACAACTGCTGAGTTCATAGAGAGGCTCGTAAGCACCAGCGAAGGGCAAAGAGAAGGTCCTTCTTTGCTCAGGGGACTGGCACCCATCTCCGATCATGGCATACAGTAGCTGTGCACAGCGCTCACCCAGCTGACACCCCCATCACTGCCCAGCCTCAGGGCAGGAAGGAACAGCGCTGCCAGGCTGCCCAGGGGACTCACTGCCCCTCTTCACTCTGCGGGGGAACGATCTCCGATCCCCCAATGGGATTGTTATTACGTGTCTAGAGGCCCACTCGCCCAGCTGCATTTCACAGAAGAGCTGGATTTGAACCCAGGTCTTGGTTGCTCTCGGGAGCTCTCCTCTGCCTGCCTAGCAGCATGGTCCCTCTGGCCTGGCCCTTTCGGCTCTGCTCACCATGCAGGGACCACGGCTGCACGGCCCCAGCTTGGCACGGCAGGTGTCTCAGGCCTTCATCCAGTTAACATTTTCTGCCTACGACTTTGCAGCTATACCCAAACCATTGGGAATAGTCATTTCCCCCTTCCTTTCCCTATAGGCCCCTTCTCTGGCCCCTGGACAAAGGGAAGAGCCACATGACAGTCTTAAAATCTTGTGGACAGAAGAAGTTCTCTTAATAGAGGCTAAAGATGTCCCCTGAGCTGTTTGGTAGAAATCCATACATGGGTAATTACAGGCTCCAGATTCCTCCCTTCCTGCCCTCAGTGCGGCCGACTGTGTTTCCAAGAAAGTGCTAGCAGCAGGATTTCCCGCAGGACCTGCTCACCAACGCAGGGAGGCTGGGTTATGAGGGGTTATGAGTAGGCAGTTGCCGAAGGCGGGGGCAGAGCTGGGTCAGCGGGCCAGCTTACCCTCCCCACCCCCCCACGCCCCACTGGCTGTGCCATGGCTTTGCGGGGCTCTGCGTTCTGGTTTGTAATGAGGGTCTGGACCCCACTGTCTGCCTTGCCTGCCACATGAATGTGGCTTTTCATGAGAGAATTCCTACTTCTTCTGCTGACCTAGAGCAGTTTAAAACACAAAAACAAGGGCCTCCTGGGTGGCTCAGGCGGTTAAGTGTCTGATTCTTGGTGTTTTGGCTCAGGTCGTGATCTCAGGGTCCTGGAATTGAGCCCCACGTCGGGCTCCACACTCAGTAGGCAGTCTGACACAGATTCTCTCTCCCTCTCCCCCTGGCCCTCTCCTGCTCCTGCACACACTCTCTCTTTCTCTCTCTCTCAAATAAATAAACCTTAAAAAAAAAAAAAAGTCAAAAATGAAGCTGAAAAAGCAGTTCCCTTTGTTGGCTAATTCCTTCCTTCCATTTTTAATCTCTGACTCTCCTGCGGGGCCAACCCGTGAGGACAAACCATCCCACACCAAGTGCTTCTTGCAGCACCAGGGGAGACAGAGTATACAGGAAAGAGCACTTCGGCTCCAACAGATTCACGTTTTTCCTTCTGCCCCTCGGTGCCAGAACTCTGTGTGGTCCGGTGTCGCTCTGCCCCTCGGTGTACCACCACCCAGGGCGGCCAAGGCTTGACAAAGGACGTGACCGTACTGGGCCCACTGAAGTCTCACGCGTGGGGCTGCCTAGATCCCCAACCGTCAAGGCCAGAGGGAGTGGGGACCTGCCCCGGACCAGCTCTTGGGGCTCAGCTCACACCTGGCTGCTGTAAGCTCTGGCACCCACCCACTGTGACACCCCCTGCACCTCCCTGCTACAGCGCCAACTCCTCCTATCGCCCTGACACAGTTCACGCCCTGGGATGTGATGGCTGTCGAATGCGTTCATATCTGTCTGTATGGCCAATGTTGGGCGCTTGGGGCAGTGTATCCCCCAGCTAGGCCCCATCCGTGGGCAGACGGATGCTCACTGCAACACTAGGGCGAGCAGAATGGGTTTGCAGAGGGACGCGACCAGGGACCTGGTGACAGGACATGGGTTGGGCCACTGGGGTGTCCGGGCACCACAGCCCAGCCTCAGTTCCTAATAGAGGCCAAAGCCTCATCGCCCAGCTTCTAGGGCTGTTCTCCCGCAAAGGGCTGCATGGTGGCCAAGGAAACAGGACCCCTGTACAACCCCAGCCTCCGTCCCTCCCCAGCGGCCACCCTGTCCACCTCCACCTCAGGGTCCCAGGGAGACACTCCCACTGCCCTGGTTTCCCTCCTCTTAGTCACCGGGTCACACTGCACGTCTCTGCCCATGGCCCCTCATTCAGAACCGTCTCTGCCACGTAAACGGAAACCCTGGGAGGGCTGGGGTTGCGTTGCCAGTGCCCACCCTATCCTGGGGATGCGGGGGGCAGCTGCTCAGAGAGGACTCCTATTGACTGGCTGAGGATGGGGTGGTCCAGCAGGCTGCACTTGAAACTGAGGTCTGAGACAGGCAGTGCTGTCAGGATGCTCGGTTTCCCCTGTCAGCCCGGGGAAAGGGCTGTGACCCTGTGTGACCCCCAACTGTGACCCTGCTCTTCTGCCGCACTCCATGCTCCTGCCATCGCTCGCCAAGGCACGTGCGTGTGCCCCAGCTGAGAAATGCTTAAAAGGAATTTGGGAGAACTTCATGGGTTCAAAGAAAGAATTTGTTTGTCGTCTTGAAAGAACCTGAGATCAGGCCGAACCCTTGCGAGATCTTTTATTACGAAGCGGTAAAGACACCGCATGTCTCCCGCTCTCCCGCCATGCTGAGGATCACCAGCCTGACTTGAGCACGCCCACGGGAAGCAGAGGCCATTGCAGAAGAGGCCATGCTCATGGCCGGGCCCCCTCCGTCTTACCGCAGGTGGGGACATCCTCCTCCGCGGACGAGGTCTGCTCATCCGTCGAGGGCTTTTTCTTCCCCAGGCCAATGATCTTGGTGATCTTCTTCCCAGTGACTTTGGACACAGTGCCCTTGGCCTCTGATTTGGAACTTTTTTTCCTCTTGACTGTCAAGAACAACGATGAAAACAAGAAAGTGTGTTTCGATTACGGACTTCAACTGAAGAAGATTTTTAAAAAGCCTAAATCATGGTCAATCTTATCTTCCTTGTTTTTCACTCACTGAGCACCTGCTGTGTGCCAGGGGTCGGGGTGGGCCAGAAGAGAGCAGAAGACAGGTGTTCTGCGGGAGGACATGCACGCATGTGTGCATACACAGAGGTGGCCGGCCCAACGGCACCAGGCCCGTGCAGAGATCTACAGTGGGGTGACGCGGCAGAGACATGGGGCAGCGGGGAATCCTTCTGGGAAGGCCAACACAAAGGCTGTGAGGCTGGGGGAGCTGGAGGAACGGGAGGAGGCAGTGCGGCTACACCCTGGCCACTCAGGGAGGGAGGGGAGCGTAGGGTTCCTCCTCATGGCTCAAAGCAAAGAGGTTACTCTTACTTTCAATTCTGCTAGTGTTTGCTCCTATTGGGAAAGTACCTGCTGGAAAGAGATCTACAAAGAGAAGAGATCATACTTTGAATTCCCCAAGGACCCCTGATTAATTTTTTGCAAAAGCAGAAGAAAGGGACTCGGAGGAAAAAGCCAAAGTACAGAGGAATGTGAGAATAAGTGCCGCTATTTACTACACGAAGGCAGCATGCGGCACGTGTAATAAAATTATGAAGAAACCCTCAAAACTTAGGATGTTCAGCCCAAGTCAGAGTAGGAAAGTCACAGCGGTCCGAGCGGCACACACCGTGAGCACACGGCATGCAGGGAGGGACAGGCTACAGAGGCAAAGCTAACTCCCAGCGTTGGCAAAGTCGTAACTGTCATCAGCGAAGACACGGTCATGCAGCTTGTGGAGAATCTGAGCGACAACACAGCTGGGATAGGGGGAGCCCTGCTGAGATCTGTCACCTGCAAACAGCTTGAGAGTGAGCAAGGGGAGAAGCTGAGGTCGAAGCCACAGTGTATTTAAACTACCGGCTCCCTTCGCAATGACTTAGCATCTGCAGGACACAGAACAGAGAAGTTGCAAACCCGGGTCACCGTCCTCGTGGAAACAAAGCAGGGGAGTTCTAGATACAGATGCATTCTCTGACACAGACACCCAGACGTCTGTATCTTTCTGTGAACCTGATTTCCAGCAGGGAGCCAGGGAAGAAATGGCAAACGAGGACAGGGACCAACAAAGCCCATGTCTGCCACGCCCCACGCCTGCATGGGAACCTGAGATTGTAGGTTTTTCTGTTTCAGGGCAAAATTTAAAGATAGTTTTCCTGGCTTTGATTATATGTTATGTGCTGTGGGAGGACACAGACAATGTCTTCCCCTGAGTAACTTCCGATGGTGAGAACTGAAATTGCACTCTGACGTGACCACGTCAGGGAATCACGTGGGCAGAGGAAGAGACCGTGACCTTTTGGCGTGAACCCGGTTGTCGCCCAAGAGTCCAAGTTACTTGGATTTCAAGGTTCTCAGTGCCTGGCTTGCTGTGTGGTTGAAGGGGATGTCATTTCAGAGCTGGGGGGGGGGGTGTCTGTTCCCTTCTAGCGTGAGAGCACAGATGAGATGGGTTGGCAGTCTTCTCCTCTGGGAAGCAGAGGTCCCAGGGCCACGAGCACACAGGCTGTTGGCTTTGCACAAGGAGAACTCCCCCACAACCTGCAAATCCTACCCTCCTCTCGGTCCACACCCCAGGAAGGAAAGTGAAAGTCAAGCCACGGACCAGGAAAAGTTACATGTAAGACACGCCAATAAAGGACTTGTATTCAAAATACATAAAGAGCTCTCAGCAGTCAGTAAAGATGAACAAAATCCAATAAAAATACGGACAAAGATTTGGATAGACATTTCATCAGATACATGGTTGGCAAAAAAAAAAAAAACCACATTAAAAAAGCTTCAACATCGTCATTACGGAAATGCAAATTAAAGCCACAATTACAGAGTACTACATTAAAATGGTCATAATTTATGCTTGAAAAGTTGACTTAGAAAAAAAATAATTCAAAACCCCAATGCCCGTGTTCACAGTAGGATCATTCGCAATGGCCAGAACATGGGAGAACCCAAGGGTCCACTGATAGATGGACAGATAAACATAGTGTGGTCCCTCCGGAGGCTAGAATGTCATCCAGCCTTAAAAGGAAGGACATTCTGACACCTGATACCATGTGACAGCCAGCTCTCCTGGCTACAAAGTCCTTTCAGTGACAAGTCAGGTGAGGAAATGAGCTGCGGGGAGCTTGGGAGTCGGAAAACAGGCCGTCCACACCCGGGCCAGGGATCGGTAGGACGGCAGGTGAAGACGCATGGGGCTCCCGTCAAACACAGGGCTTTCTCTGTGCTTCCCACGTGTGACCCGGACCATGCCATCTCTGTCGCCAAACTTCCAAGGAGACCTGTCACACAATCAGGGCCTGCGGAGCTGGCCCCCGCCTTTTGTTGATTACTCTCGTTTTCATGTTTCAATGTTTGAGGTCATGATTGGTAGAACTCACCTTGTTCTTTTCCTTCACACACGGTGACTCCATTCTCCATGACGCCCTCCCCGTCCGAGCTGGGTCTCTCAGAAGACAGCTTCTGTGAGGGTAAAAAGGATGAAATTATTCTCACCGTGGCTCCCACTGGCCACGTGATGTCTCGTGGATGCGTCCACAGTGATCCCCACAGTGGAAGGAAGTGTGGCCAAGTCCACAGCCACACAGAGAGGCCGGGGCTTGGGGACAGACAGGCTGCCAGGAAGCTCTCTGCTGAAATCTCAGAAACAGCAGAGGAACGAAGAACAAACTCACCAAAGTATAACAAACACGCTCTCTAGTACCGCCCCTATTGCGTCCAAATCCTGTTTGCTTGCAAGTAATTTTGAAAAAATACTAAGATTACAAAAGATATTCCCCTCAGCAAACCGTGTTACCCTTCCAGAAATAGCTCACCATGCACTCAATTTCGTCCTGTCGCCGACCAATAACCGGGTGAGGTCAGACATCGCACATAACACACACCCTCCGAATATACTCGCTGAGACGAGCTACCGTCGAAATGGCCCAAGGGCACGCCTGACAACTTGAAATTCTTTCAGGCCTGAGATCTGGATGTGAGGAGCATGATTAGGACCCCAAGCTGGCGCCTGAAGAGGAGATGTTGCTTGGAGCTGGGATCCTCCATTCTGGTGGGAGACTGTGGCATTGGGGGGTGGGAAGGAAGAGGAAGTGGGCTGGGCACCCCCCGTCCCCCGGTTCTGTGCATCATAGCCCGGCGCCACAGAGCCTGGCCCGCTGGAGACAAACAGAATGTCTGGACGACACGAGGGCAGCAGGGAACATAACGACCAGCTGCTATCAAGGGGTCCGGGCGGTGGTGCCAAAGATAGCAGGTGGGTGTCTGCGATCCTATTGCGACGCCAGGAGGAGTCACAGGGAGGAAACTGGGGCTTTTAGAGGGTGCCTGTCATGGGCCAAGTCCCCCAGGGACAGCATCACGAAAGCCAGCACTGCCCCAGCTCTTGGCCAGGAAGCAGCCCTGGGGCCTGGGTTGGTGGGTCTGACCAGGCATTCAGAGGACGGCCTTAGACGTCAGAGATAGGAATGGCCAGCGCCCATGGGGAATGGGAGCCCTGATGTGCTCTGCAAAGAGGCATGGGGGCAGCCTGTCTGGAAAGCGGAGTGCTTAGCAGCGTGAGCCAAAATCATAAGAAATATCTCTACCATTTGGTCTAGTAAGCCAGCTTCTGGGAGTCTCTTCTTGGGTCACAGAGACACAGTGAAGACTCATGAGTGAGATGCCAAGGACCACGCTGTGTTAAACCATCTGAAGAAGGAAGACAGGCCTGGGGTGGGGGGTTCTGATACAAATAGCAGAGATGCACAGATCCAGGGTAATGTGCCTGGTGAAAATGCAGAAGCGCTTGCTGCTTATTACAAGTTTTCAAAAAGCTGGAACATTGCTAATAGGATACAGGGAAGGGAGGGAGAGGCAGCGTTAAGAAATTTTATGCACCAGAGCACCCCACTGGTTAAACCTACACAGAGTGCTGCGGAGGGCTGCCTCCTCTGGGCGGCAGACTCACCGGGGACTTCTTTCCTCCTCTTTCTGTTTCTGCGCTTTCCGAATTTCTACAGTGAGCAGGCATGGGTTTTGTTATTAGGAGAAAAACAAACAGGCCAGCTGCGTCACAGTGTCTGGGTGAGGACTGAGAGGTTAATTTATTATGTCCGCTTGGAGGGGGCTGGTGATGAGACTAACACTGAGATCAGTGGATGCGTGTAAGCAGGCTGCCCGCTATAATGCAGGTGGGCCTCACCCAATCAGGTTAAGGCTCGGGGTGACCTGAAAGACCCGCTTTCCCCCACAAGAGGGGATTCTCCAGAAGACTGCCAGCAGACTTCATCTGCACCATCGGCTCCCCTGGGTCTCCAGCCCATGGACCTACACTGTTGAGCTGGACCTGCCAGTTCCCATCATCACATAAGCCAATTCCTCATAATAAATCTCTTCAGGGGCACCTTGGTGGCTCAGTTGGTTAAGTGCCTCCAGCTCAGGTCATGATCCCAGGACTCTGGGGTCGAGTCCCATGTTGGGCTCCCTGTTCAGCGGGGAGTCTGCTTCTCCCTGTGCCCCTCCCCTTGCTCCTGCTCTCTCTCTCTCTACAATAAATAAATAAAATCTTAGAAAAATAAACCCTTTGTGTACATATATATATGTGTGTGTATCTGTATACATACTTACAAAATTTTGCAATATAAGCCATATTTTACATTTAAATAGTATATGTACTTAATAACACACACACACGCACACACACACACACACACACCCTTATCAGTTCTGCTTCCTGGAGAGCTCGGGCTGAAATAAGAACAGACAAAAAGGGATTTGTTCACTGGCAGCAGGGGTTAGCCGGGGAGGACTCAGAAGTTTCCAGGACCACAGGCTGCCCCGCAAGACCACCGCCTAGCCTGCACAGAGAGGAGACGTGTGTGTGTGGTGTGTGCAGGCACGGAGGGCACAGCCAAAGAGGGCCGGGCATGGCGCCCAGCAGTGCTGGGTTCACACATTTCCTGCAAGAAAGACCAACCCTCCAGCCCCACTGCTGGGCTCTCACTGCACCTTCCAACCAGCCAACCGAATACAGAGCAGAAATGGACGGAGAACGCATCCTGGCCTGCGGGGAATAACCCTTTGGGAAGGCACACTGACATGGTGCCCACTGCCTTCCAGATGTACGCGGACCAGCACGCAGAGTTCAACTCCGCCACGGGCCGGCGAGCTAGCCTTGAACCCCTGAAATTCTTCCGCACGTTTCAACCCATTTCTGCAGCTACGGCTGGGGGATGATCAAACCAGCCCTATGGTCTGTGAAAGGACTTACTCGAGCTTCATACGGAAGTAGGCACTCAAAATGCAGAAACAGAAGGACTGCACTTTTACTCCCACCTCCAAGGGCTCAAATTCTCAGAGAATGCTATCACAGCACCGAGGGAGGACTAAATCCACGGTTAGAGTGCTGTTCCTGGGGAGAAAGACGTCCTTACCTTCTCCAGCTCTGTCTTGTGCACCGGGGAGCTCGACGGGGGAGGGCCTTCTGACTCCGCCTGCCCGCTGCAGCCGCTGTAGACGTCTCGGATCACCTACGAGAAGTAGAGATGGGCCTGAATGATCTCAGAGGGGGGATGCTGACCTACAGGGCTGAAGCCGGCATGGACAGGCAGAGGTGTACAGCGCGGCGGGGAAGTCTATGGGCCCAGAGGCACATGCTCTAAGTCCCAAGGTACCAAGTGCTCATTTGTTGACTCAGCAAATGTCTCCCCGATCCCAGGACGGATGCAAGGTTTAGGATACAGGGAGAATGCATGGCCTTGCTTCCCTGGGGCCTGCATTCCAATGGAAGTTAGATATCACAGCAAACGGTGAGGATCACCCAAACACGAAGGTCAAGTAAGATGGCAGTTGGGCTACAAAGACTGGAAGGTGGTGTTTAATGAAAAGGGAACAGCGAATTAACAAGATCAGGAGGCCTCACTGGGATGACAGGTAGGCTGGGAGGCAAATGCCGAGAAGGACCCAGCCACATGAGGAACCAGCAGACAAGGCTTCCAGACAGAGGGGCCAGCTGGTACAAAGGCTCTGTGGTGGATTGGAGTGTTTAAGGATACTGCCTGGTGCCGTGTGGCAGGAGATGGGGGCAGACCACCAGGAGGCTCCCACAGTGCCTTCAGGCCCAGTGAGGAGGCTGGGTTTGAGCAGCCCACGCCCCAGAGTGATGGGAGTGACGTTCTGGGAGGCCATATGTGCCGAAGCCCGGAGAGCTCCATGGTCTGGGGTTTCACCCCAGCCTTCACCTTGGGCCAATTTAATTAACTGCTTGGTGCTCCAGTGCTCCCACCAATAGAGCAGACACAATGGTCCTACCTGTGAGACATACACGGCCTGAGACAGTGCTTGTGACGCAGGGGGACACCACTGTCAGAAGCCGCAGACAGCACACAAGAACTAAAAAGGAAACGTGCCAGGAGTCCTGTAGCAGCCCGGAGCCAAGAGTGGGGCAGTGCAGGCTGTGGCAAAGGCGGGAGGGAGCAAACCAGCAGCTTACGGAGGATTCTGGAGTCCCAGCAGGCCCTGATGGTGGGTCAGGCAGAGCAGGAGGGAAGTGTCACCTCCAAGGCAGCTGGGTGCTACCATTCAGATGGAGGAGGCAGAGAGAAGCAGCAGGTGGGGGAGAAGCGAGGCAGGTGACAGCAGAGCAGAGGAAAACTTCTAGGCAGAGCTGGAACTAAACTGGGAGTCAGGGGAGAAGAGGCTTGCTCCCAGCCCAGGAGTGGGTGAGTTGCAAGAGGGAGGGCAGACAGAGCAGAATGCAAGTCCAGGACAAGGACCAGAGCCAAGCCAAAGGGGAGAGGCTGGTGTAAGAATGAGCTGGAATGGCCAGGGAAGTGGGGGCGAGGTGGGGGAGTGGTGCAGCTCCCAGGAGCAGGGAGGAGGAGGGAGGGGCAGGCCCTAGGAATCCCCTCCACTGCGGGGGAGGGATCGGGGGTGGGAGTGACTGGTGGGGCTCCCGGAGCGGAGATGAGCAGAGGAAGAATTTCCAGAGGAGGCAGTGGAATTTCCACTTCTCCTTCTGGAGAAGGCCAGTGTGCTTGGTGGCAGGAGTTTGAGGACACCCCTGTCCGGCTGGTTCTGTCTCCTTGGTGAAATGCGAGACTAGAGCATCAGCTGTTGGTTCAAAGGCCCAACCTTGCTGAGCCTACTTCTCACCAGCAAAGGAAGGAGCGTCCGGATGACTGTCCTGCTATGTCAGAACGGTGACATCCATAAAAAATGAGATTCTCTCTGCAAAGTGCCCAAGCCAGTGCCTGGCACGTGGCGGCTGCTCCCCTGGCCAACACTGTCACTACTGAGAGTGTCCTCACCATCGACACAGAGGGCTCAGAAAGGATCCTGCCTGAGACTGATAAGCATGGGGGGTCTGGGGCACACAAGTAGTGGTCCTTGGCCGTGCCAGTACTCACAGAGCCCCCAAGGTCACCCACTGTCCCTGCTGTCATTACTGAGATCCTGCCATGAGCTGGGCATGGTTCTGATGGCTGGGGACAGGCAGGTAGCAGGACAGAGTGGGATCCCGGGTTGGTGGAATTTGCAGGCTAGCAAAGGAAAAGTTAGGCAACAGTTCCTTCAAAACGTCTTCCGTTCTTTTTGGAATGAAGCTGCAAGTTGAGTCCAGCCCATGTGTCTTCAGGGCAGAACTGAAACACCAAAGTCCCAGATATCTGGGTCGTAATTTTGCAACACGATCTCTGCAGACATGCCTGAGTGCCCTGGCTTGCGCTGGGGTTGGGATCAGTGCCAGGACCCGACAGGTCCCCAGGACAGTGTTTGCAGCCATTCTGCTGCTCAGCTGTCTTATGAAAAAGCTATGGAGCAAAGTCCACATTTGAGACTAAAATAGGACAAAGGGAAAAGAAAGAAAAGCCCAGAGAGTTTGCTGCCATGTTTTTCTCCCTATCTCTTCCAAGGAGTGAAGGCATTGTCCAAGTGACATCCACCCGGGGACCTGGGCCTTCTGGACGCCTGCATCTCTGTCCACGCGGATTCTGCTCCCGCTGCTCTGGCCGGGTCTCTACTCCCACGCCTCCCCTGGGACGTCATCAGGTCTTTAGCTGACAAGGCAAATTCTCACTTAATCTAAGGACAAGAGTTTGTCTTTTCTCCAGGGAAAGAGCACGCCGCAGGAGAATCTCCTGGGCTCTGGTGTCGAACAGAAATGGGGTTTCAACCCTAACTCTACCTCCTGCTGCACAGGGGAGGCTGAGCGGTGCAGACTCGGGCCCGATGTCCTCATCCAGAACATGCACCAAAGAAGGTCTCTGGGCCACCGAGGAAAGCGGGATCATGCAACGCGAGGTGCCCAGCCCAGCTTCTCCCAGAACAGGCACAAAGCTCGCATGCGCCCCTTTCCCGAGACAACAGCCCTAAACAGAGGGTGTGGCTCTGACAGTCACACTAACTGACCCGAACGAAACTTACAAGGTCCTCGTCACTCACCAGAAGGCTGAACCTCAGAAAACAGAACCTGCAGAATCCTCTCTCTGGCAAAGGCGTGTCTGCACAAAGCAGGTTTCCTTTTCCCTTCTTGCTTTTTCCAAGGAGGGAGGGGCCGCAATGTGCGGCACCGTTGCTCCGAGGAACCCCCCGTCCCGGCCTCATGCGCGAGGGATGTGAACTGCTTCAGGGATAGATCCGGCTTGCTGGATCGGGTTTGTCCTGCAAGCCTCAGCCTCTGTCTCATGTGCCCTGGGAGCAGGCTCTTCCCCCACAGGGCACAGGGCTCAGCTCTCCCTGCCCTTGGCCACAGCCAGCCGGGCGTGTCTCACATGGACACCGCTCCCGTGCCCTGTACACCCATGGGGCTCTTTCTTCTCTTCAGCTGGGCTTGCTTTCAGGGACGGGACTATGCCTTGCTTATGCGGGCATTTCCAAAGCCTAGCACAGAACAGCAACCTAAAAAGTATGATGAAAGAAAAAAAAAAAAAAGGTGGGAACAAGGAACCCAACTGGACTTGACATTTTCTCCGGGCAAGAAAGATGAAGGAAGGAGTGAAATCCAGAGGGGAGGAAACCAGGCCATCACGTCCAGTAAGTAAACCCTCAGGACAACCTTCCCCCAGTCCTCTGCAGAGGTTTCTGAAAACCTTGAAGGAAAAAAAGAGCGTTCAGCTAAGACCCATGCCTGCGGCACCCGGGCGAACTTCCTCACCCTCTCCTGGTCCCTCGAATGTCTCCTTTCCTACCCTCCCTTCCACATCAGGGTCCATTCTGCCCGCAAACACAGGGTGGAGGAACGACAGACTCGTTGAATGGCCAGATGAGATGACCTGGCCATGGAAGTGGCGGAGCGTCCTCGACTTCCCTGAGAAGCCTTCCCTTGTAAACCCAACCCATGCATCCGTATGCTTAGAATTCTGTGTGCAGATAAAGGATACACTTTTGTTCTCTACTGGGGTCCCCCCGCCTGACCTTACGCAGAGTGCAGCATCACCATGGTGCTTAGGAAACAGACAGGACTTCGGTGGCCACAGGGACCCAGACACACCTAGGGCTAGGCCTGTGTGTCTGGGAAAGAGAAAGGCGCTGCTGAAACATCAGGGAGTGTAAGCTTGTCTTTACTCCCATGGGTTTCATCCACTAGCCGGGCCAGCTGGTGACGTCCCTGAAACGGTCTTTCTCCTCTGATCGCTATTCATTGCCCAACTGCCCCCACAGAGTTAATACAGAAGGAATCAATAAAGGGTTTATCGCCCAAATTCTTTTAATAGCTGCAGATGAAGATTCTGTATTAATATATATTAATATACTGAATATATATTTTTATATATATTTATTAATATATATTCTATATTTGTATTTTGATTTATTTATTTTTAAGGAGCCCTGTTCATGAGAAGTTCAGCATGTATTTAAGAGAACTGGGTCCAAGTTCAGAATCACATATCCTTCAAAAAAATTGTTATATGTTCTGTGGTATTTTTGTTTGCTTTTAACTTGAGCCCTCATTGACAGAAACTCAATCTCTGCACATTTTTTAGGGAAACCTGACCACTCTGTTTCTGGGAATATTGGCTGTTGTCTTCTGACTGACCCCTGCAACATGGCTCATGTTTTCGGCATCTGTATACACACACACACGCGTGCACACACATGCACGTGCGCGTGCACACACACACACGGAGTCAGTCAGCTTTGGCAGGAGCTGCTGGTAATGGAAGTTGCAGACTGAAGGAAGAGAAACAAATCATATTCTTGAAAGGGTTTCAGCTACCATAAGGTATCGCCACTTAAACTCTGTACGCAACCACTAACATAGCCTCAAAACAAATTAAGCAAGAACTGATGGAAACAGAAAGACAAAGAGACAAATTCATACCAAAGAGGTAGATATGACCACATCTCTCCCTTTCATTAGCTGACAAAATGAATTAGTAGAAGATCTGAAGATGACAGTAAGTGCGACCTGACAGAACTGTGCAGACGTGTGCACCCAGCAACAGCAAAATGCATGTCCCTCGGTGTAGACACAAGCATTACCCACCTTGACTACATGTTGAGCAACAAGTCAAGTCTACAAATCTCTACG